TATCATGGGGGGGGGGGGGGGGGGGGGGGGGGGCACTACAGGGTTTTGTGCCACGTACCCCCCGAAAGGTTAATGGTTTGTTTACATGCAAGCATTCCAAGCGAAAATCGTGCCCCCCCCCCCCCAACATTATTTTCCCCAAATAAAAATTGTTACTCAATTAATTTTTACTGGGGGAAGGGGTGTAAAAGGTACACCAGCTAACAGAAAATTTTTGAGATCTTCATTTCTTTTTAAAACTTAATTTAACTTTGTTTTATTTTTAAATACGAATAGATAAGTAATGGCAATGGATATATTAAAGAAGAATATCAGAAACAACAGCTGTCGCGCAGCATATCATTTACATGCGTCGTGCTCTACAATAATGTACAGCATTTAATTAGTATTGAAAAAAAACAATTGAGTAGTCTTACCTTACAAGATCAAGGAAAGCATCAGCCGTATTCACTTCAACACTTTGTTCTGCCACCTTGCTTGTCTGCCCACGATTCCCGGGTTGAATGGACACCACGAGGACAATCCCAAGAATAACTGCCAAGAGGGTGGTGACCATGTAGTAGACCACCGCCCTCAGCCCCATCTTCCCTGCTGCTTTTGCCGGTAAAGCTGCCAATCCGGAGATGAGGCTGGATACCACAAGTGGTAGGATGAGCATTTTCAGCATACGAAGAAGGATCTCGCCGGGGAAATTAAGGTAGAAAACTTCTCTGGCGGTGAAAGGAGGTTGCTTCATCCTTAGGGCGGCTCCCATGCCTATGCCGATGCCCATTCCAGCAATGAGCAAGATCACCAGCAAGTGAGGACGGAAGACAGCCCAACATTTCTTCGCTTTGGAACTAGCCATTTTGTTCTCTGTGTTTAAGTGTTCACTTTCTTTACGTGAGCAATTAATATTAAAGCCAATCCCTTTGTAAAACAGTCCTCTTTTATGTCACTTTTTCCAAATGAAAAAAATCAATGGAACAATATTTTCCCTCAAATTTCCCCGTTCAAATGTATACTCGAACAGCGAACTTCAACTTGAGCCTTTCTACGCGTTCAAATCTGTTAATATCGTGTTTACCACGCGGAGTCTATATATCCTTCATCGACGACAGCACCTTATCAAAGTAGTCCACTGTTGTGTACACCTGCGACTTAAAAGCCCTCACTATTTGAGGAGGAATAAACGAGTAGACCCTTCCTGTGCGGTGCCCTGTATACGTCACGCGTCCAGTAAGTCCTGTGTAGTACTAGATTTCTACGCCAAGACAGACATGGACAGAAGCCTCCGGCCTATTATGATTATTCAGTCCCCACTGTATGATCTAATAATTGGCAGCTTTTTGTCGGAGCTTGTCGAGTACTTTGGCAGTGACAAATCGCGCGTTGAGTAATTTCACAATACACTTCACAGCAAATCGTATGTGAAAGCTATGCTAATATTATAATAAAGATACGCGTGTTTTGATTAATTTATCATGTAAGGGCTTGCAGTATAGTGACGGAGATTTAAAGATATGATTTTGTTAAAAGTTATTTAAAGAGCTGCAGTCATAAGGGATGTGATATATGTTTGTATATCGCACGTGTTTGTGACTGTGAAAGACATGAACTAAAACTTGTCAAATATATATTTAAATCAATGCCTCAATTTTGAGAGTTTGGTAACGTCATCGCTCATGTGATTAAATTGGAGCTCCATCACTGACTAGCTGAAGTCCTTGAGAAGTCAAAATAACGTTGGTCAAGAAAAAGAATCAAAATAATTCATATATTGTCTCTGCTGAATATCTACCAGTCCTCACAATTTAAACTTAAATATTAATTTGAATACTTTAGATTGTTTTATAATACACTCAAAAATGGATTTCAATATTCATCTTGCATAGAAACTCCTGTCAAGAAACATTACCCCAGTTAACATACATGAAAAAATTAAATTCACACACTATAACCGCTCCATAAGACTAAGACCACGCCCTACACTGCAGAAAAAAGACATCAACCATCCGCACATATAATTTTTGTCTGCCAAGTACCTGCATATGGCCCTAGGGTTCTATTTAGGCTGACCAACAGAGAGTGAAATGGTAGAATCGCCAAACACCGTCATCTCCAACAGTTCTGTGTGGAAGTTAACATATTCTACTAGTCCGATATTTTAAGTATCCTATACGTGGTTTTCCTGTCATATCGAAATTTTCCCGAAGAAATTCTCCAGGTCACCAATCATTGCTCGACCCGTCCCAGCATTTGGATTCGATGGTTTACATCAATTTTTATTAGATAATCAAGTTCGCAATGATTGGCAAGTCACTTACTCCGCCATGTCCTCGTGTAGAAAGAAAGAAATTGGGGGCTTTCGTATAGGGGCCTATAAATTCTACATGTTTTGGGTTTTGTACATAAACGTGTGCGTTTAGTTCTGAGGGTGAGATGTCGTTTGATCATACTGTACTTCAAGTTCAAATATAATAATAAATATATTGAACCGCCAGACTTGCCATTTCTTATTTTTCTTTCTGGTAAAAGAGTAAATGGGATTACTCACTGTTTCGCATTATTTGGCACCAGGTACTTAAGTTTTATTCTAGGGGTTATATAGTTTTTAAGTTTTGAATTGGGAGAGATAAGCAGCTTTGAAGGATATGTAAACATAGAAAAATATATCTTTGGGACATTTTCAAACGCGGATAGTATACCTTTAAACGTTAACAGGCAGTCGCAATAAGCGTTTCGTCTCTGGAAATTCATTATTCATTCAATTTATTTGCAATAGATTAATATAATCCATCATAATTGATCATTATTAAGCTTTATTACAGCACAAAAATAACATTTAAAGCAGTTGTATTTGTATAGGTGTAACCTCTTGACAACGAGTTGCGTGTCAAAGACTGCCGTAGATGACGGACATGTATCAGTTATATAACACGGCATGGGGAGCAGTATCGCACACACACACACAAATATAGGGAAAAAACATTAACAGGTCAAATCCAGATAAATATGTTACCTACGATTATAACAGCTCCACTCCTCACTTAACTGCTCGCTAGTTTTGATTAACCTCCACTCGAAAACATATTTATTTGATTTTGTTTGATATCGAATTGCCACCCCTTACATAATATTTATCAATACTGCAAACTTATCAAAGTTTACTACTCAGAACTTTTCAGATATTTGTTAAAGCAGTCCTTTGTTCTATAGATAAGGGAGAGGCGTATCAGTTTGGTTGCTAGTTAAGGAGGATTGAGTTGCTACTTAAGGAGGATTAGAACTCTCCAATGCCACATCCGATGATCGACCTAAATAAATTCTCACAATTTAATTTTATAATTATTTCACTTTCTTTATTTTTTTTTTGTATTTATTTATCTATACTTAACTTGATCATTTTCTGTGCATTGGAGGTTCTTCTTCTTCTTTTTTTTTTTTTTTTTTTGTCTCTTTTTTTACTTATTTCATTATAATTACTAATATTCTATTTCCTTCAGAGAAGAATGTGCCAGAAGAGAAGTTCAAGAAGAGACTGGAATGAAACTGACCAGGGTGGACTTTGCCACTGTGGTCAATGTGGTGTGGTGGGAACACAATGTCCATTACGTTGACATAATGATGCTAGGAGCAGTTAACAGAGGATGTGAACCACAAAATTTGGAACCTGATAAATGTGAAGGTTAAAATGGGTTTTGTTGGTGTGTCTTTTACTTTAGACAAATTTATATTTACTTGACAACAAGAATACTCTTTCGATTTTTTTTTATTTTCTTGCATTTGACTGATATAAACTAGGTGGAGGAACTAAGTGCAAGTGTAATATTAAGCCTCATAAAATAGATTTTTTAGACCATTGCAGAAGGGATCAAAATATTTTATGATTATATAGTTTCCAGATATTGTTTATTCTTATTGTTATAATTGCACGTCTTACATGGGAGGGTTCAAAAGAACCACCCTTTTAGTTTGAAATGAATCTGAGTCCAAATTTAAATTGGGTCCTATATGCTAGCTATTTCTCTGGGGAGTGAAGGTCCAGTTTTAGAAAAATACCTCCCTCCCTACAGTTCTCCTTTCCCCTTTGAAATTGCTGTCTACAGGCTTGATATTATATTAATACCTTATGCAATCATTTATATTACATATTTTTAAGAAATACAGTAGGCCTAATCTAAGCAAAAATGCAAAACCATATTGATTTCAAACATGACTGCCAACATAACATCTTTAGTGGGCAGAGATTGTAGTTAAAAATCTACTGTGGTCATAAGTGGTCTGCAGCAAGTTGACCCCTTGCCAGATTGCAGTTTTTATTCGTCTTTTTTTTTCATAATTTCAGTGTTTAGTCTATTTTAATTCAATCTTTTTTTACCACCAAGTTCCATATACAAGGGCATTTTCAAAACTGCACCATATCTTCAAACATTTACTGGAACGCATTTCAAGTACTACACATGTACTACTGTCCAGGTTGCTGGTTGCAGTCTTTTTACTTTTTTTCCACAGTACCATCAAGCACTCAGCGCTGCAGACCCTTCCTCAGTAGGGCTGCTGCTAGGTGAAGAAAGAACACAGCAACGACCTAGGAGCAATTTCAAAACAAAATGTATAAAACTAAGAGTAATAAAAAAGAGGCATTCTGAGATAAGTGGCGTGATATTTGCCTTCATGTTAAGCACCATGATGGCACTAGGGGAGAGGAGTGAACCCTTTTCTCTGTGTATTTAAAAAAGGAGCAAGATGCTCTCATGTACCATTTCTGCATTACGTTTTAGAGAAATCAGCCTTATAATCTGAATGTCTGAACTTATTTTTTAATATTCCTTCACAACCCAATGCAGAATATTTACTTCACTTTTATAGATATGCTTAGAATCTTTAGTGCATTATATTTATAGCCTTTACTTATATTACATTTGTAGACTTGAGTCATTTTTCTTGGCGAAAAGACTATAATTCTCCACAAAACAGCAAAGATAATCTCGCCATTTATTACAAAAAAAAAGAGCTTCAAGTATATCAACACCCTTTACTTATATTACATTTGTAGACTCACTTTATTATTGAGTAAATATAAAAAACAGAGCAATAAAATGAAATAATCTTTATTCTTGCATACATGTGATACTTGGTCCCATAAACTGAAATATTACATTTGTCATCAAAATATAAGGTGTTTAGAAGAGATAAACATAGACACATGTAGCAGCACATTGAAATAATATCACATATTTTTAATTATACTCATATGTCTTTCACTGAGTTCACAGGGAATGCAAAGTGAAGTCCCTAAAAACTAGATTAGGGAACAAACAAAATCAGAGTAAATAAAGATGTTATATTAATATATGTGTTAAAAGTTACTGGTTACATACCGTTTTTTAAAAATGGACTTATATTATGCTTACATTTACAGTAACTCAGGCAAAAATACAGTTTCGTCTCTTTCCCATTTTGTATGTTGACAAAAGCAAGCGATAAACCTACTGAGACTATACATATGCACAGTAAGAATCAATTTTTTAACTATTGCAAGCACTTTGTAATCACAAATACGGCAAAATCAAGGGGCTGAGAAAACAATCACTAATTCGTGAATAATTTACTTAATGATCTACTGCACTGAATACAGAACTAACAAATAAGTGACTACAAATAACATCCATCTATATCTTATCTCAGGTATTATGCATAACAGAGAGAAATAAATAAGGATACATGGTCCCTTAGGTTCATTTACCCTGTCATTTACCACAGAACTTGTTGCATAAAATGCCGAATTATTTCATATATGATATGAGAGCCGGTAAATGAACTGTCTGGCCACCACAAACTGACAATGTCACATCTCATATCTGAAACAGGATAACTCCTTTACTCACACTGCACGTGATAAACTGTGACTGAAAACATACAAAATCACATAGCCTAAAAGCACAGTATGTATCTTTATAGAACTGGTCATTTAAGGAATAAACCAGGCTAGCTACCATGTCAACCACATTAAAAAATATCATTAAATTTAATATCAGAGCCCCTATCATGTCAAAACACTATAATATATTCATGAATTATTTTTAAAAACTATATTTGTTTGAGGTAATGTTACTACTAGTGACATATCCTATGGCAGGGTTTGACTTTAAGACCCACTTCCAATAGACACCATTGGTCTATGTGGAACAACCAAGGGACAACCGCTAAGTGCAATCAGCTTAACAGATTAACACGCCTCCTCTTGGTGTTAAGTAGAATAAAGAAAAGCTTGTGATTATAAGAATATGTTGGAAACAAGTGGAGGTGTGTCATTCAGTTAGCTGATTGCACTTAGTGAGTGTCCCTGCAGATTTGGGTTGATCCTTGAAGACGGATGGTGTCTATGGGAATGGGGTGTAAGTTATCAAAGAAATCTGAGAATTTATACAGAACAATGGAACGAGAAGGAAAAGACAAAGAATATATGAGTATAATGTCTAAGGCCTTTTGTCACATTTTTATTCTTATAATTGTTGTTCCTTTAAAACCAAGATTGTAAAATGTACCACACGTTTATCTCATCATTTCTTAAAAAGCAAAAAGGTATGAATAAGGTGAAAAATATATCAATCTTTATCTTACACACGAAAAACAGAAAAACAATGTCTAAAATGTAATTATTGGGATCTCTGAATAGACTTTTACCACCCTGACGCTTAAATATTTCATAAGGTACCAGTGTGTATTATGTTCTGAACAGTTTTACAAACATGTGACCTAAATAATAAGTGACATGATATCTAATGTTTAAAATCTAGAATCCACAGGTTCTCTTTGGTCTTTAGAAACCCAGGAAATATTCACTTGGGGCTCACCCGAGAACACGCTAGGGGAACGACTTGTAATCTCTTGGCTGGTGGATGGAGTATTTATGTTGATTGCTAGAAGAGAAAACAATAAGGACATCACAGATTGCATCACTGTTTTATTTCAACAGCAATGGGAAACTATGAATGAATTATTAACAGCTCAGATTTTGAAAATATGAAATAATTTGTTGTGCACATTTAGAAGCCATGAAATCATCTGTTGACGGTGCAGATTCATTTCTCATGCAAATACGTGCATGCATGACACACAGCCAGAAACATTCAAAACTAAATAAAATTATGATACAAAATCTGTTATTTTAGTTTTTGATAGTCTAATAAATAATTTAAATAGTTATTAATATATATTATTGATAAACACCAGGTTGGGAGACAATCAAACACAGGAAATACAATCACATGGTTTCTACTCATCTAACATGTTTGCTACACATAACAAGAATACAGTGCGTCCACAGCAGTTTATTGAAAAATTCCAATTTACAACATATAAAATGATACATTTACTACAAAATGACAAAAAAAAGATTTTAGTTTTCATCAGAGAGAAGAAGGGGCACTTCTATTTGACTTTCATAATTACCACCAGATTTGGCAAAATGAACAGTTTCCTGGCAGCAGATGAATAAAAAAATACACTAAAATGGTTCATCAGTAAAGACGTATTTACTAGTATGTGGACGGCTATTTTACGTTTCAAACTTATTGTACTACTAAAAGAATTTGTTTGAAGTTCATGAAACTTATCAAAATAAGCAACTGTAGATTCTAGGGCCATTTCACCTTAAAAAATTTTAAAGTCAATTATACATAAGGCATAATATTATATACTAATATCTATAAATGTTCATGCATGGTTATAATTTTCACCACATTCATTATCATTCACTCACAATGTTTCAAATATCTCTTAAATTTACGACAGAAATATTTGATGTTTCTCCATCAAGCACTGGAATTCTCTTTCACAGTGCAATATCAACAATTAGCAGCCCATACAATATGAAACAATTAGCTAGGAAAATTATAATAAAACTTGAAATAAAAAATGAAAATCTCCCTCATTACTTACAGCCATTGCTCTTCCCCTGGTCTCTATTGGAAGTAGCAGGGCATCTATTGCACATAGGAAAGCAATGGCACCATAAACCCACAAGGCAGATACTAGGGAGGCATTTAGTAATACCTAGAAAAAACAAGATTCATATTTTAAGTAGGTTCCTATACCGGTATTTTTTGGGGGGGTTAAAATAATTAAACAATTTAGTTAACATAAAAGGAACATTTTGCTGTATATATGTTTGTTACGAGAGTATTCATTTTATTCATTTCCCTTTTATGGAAATATCTCTTTCATTATTTTAGTCACTTAAAAACACCATACCACATATAAACACAATGTAATCATATCCTTTATAACATTTTCAGTACCTCAATACTTAACAGAAATCATAATCTGTTTATTAAGGAAGCAAAAGTCATTAAAGCTTCAGCTAACATTTAATTCACACTTGAGATGTTACAATATGATGACAGGCTGATCCTCAAGAGGTTAAAAAATGGGACACACATGTTCAATGGGAAGACCCAGAAGACGGCCTAAATCCGCCCGAGTCAAGGCAAACATAAATCATTACCTGTGATATAAAAGGAGTGGTCATGGCACCTAACCTGGCCATGGCACTACTGGAACCCAATCCTAATGCTCGAACAGTTGTAGGATAGACCTAAATATCATGGAAAAATTAAAATTAAAAATTAATAATAAACACTATGTTAAAATGATTCTGGGACAATTCCCCTCGGAATTTCCCTCCCAAGACCCCCCTCCCCCTTTTGAACTATCTATTTGTGGAATTTATACTGTTATTTTCATTACAAGTATATAAAGTATATAAATCTTCAATATCCTTTATGTCATTCTGAACAAACAATAAATAATAAATAGATAATCCAGTGGATAAATGAGTGATTGAATTAGTATACAATTAAAACAAATAATCAAATTCAAAAATCTTACCTCTGTTGTATAGATATAAACAGTGTTGAAGACGGCAGAAGACAAGGCTCTAGCACCAAACAAGAAGAAGGTCAGAACACCACGGGAGACGCACAGCTGTATGAGGAGGAAGAAGATTCCAGTGCCGACCAGACTCACTGCAAGGGTTTTCTGTCGTCCAATGAGATCCATCAGAAATAAGTTAATTGGCAAACCTATAAAAAAGCAAGAGCAACATGTTGAAAAGCAACTATTTCAAGAATTTCTTCATACGCAAAGTGTGGACTTTTTCCCTGGAAACTTACATTTCACTTTCAAGGAAATAATTATAGTACAACTTTATACTGTAACTTCTTGAAAAAAACCTTATCCATTTTCAAATATCTAGAGCATATGACACAGAAAAAAAACTCAAGTGTCTTAAAATCTACTCAGTGAGTTATAAATAGCATGATACATATTTCATCTTTCTTGAAAGAGATAGAGTAAACTATTTTTTTTAATTCTTCAGGTTGATGAAAATAAATAAATAAATAAATGAATAAATAAAATAATAATAAATAGTTTCTTAACAATAATTTTTTAACTGTGTGGCATGACCTTTGACTTTCATCAAAACATCTGGATTACCTGACTGACTCACATCACATGTCTAATCTCTTAATAGAAACAATTTATTTTTGATTACCATCATCACACAAGAGACAATGAAAAACCCATTTACCAACCTTCACATACAATTTTATACTGTGTTCAAATGATTGATACACTAACAAATGACACTTACCTAAAAATTCCCCTAAAGATGACCATATCATGGTTATATAGTCAGCATGACCTAGTGGATTACAATGGCAACCTTGCTCTGTCTGAATCACTTCTGTACCTGACCCTAGACAGGAAAGAAGTTAACATAATGAGAATTTGATAACAGTGAAACATGGTTTAAAGTAGCATAAAAAACATCCTTTAGCAATAATAGTTCTAAGTCAGCAGAAAGCAGTGGTTTCTAATGTGTATAAAAAAGCATTTTAAGCTTTAACATGAAGCAGGTATTTTTGAGCAGAACAAAATTGTAGTAATTTTATTTTCTGGCACTTCCATGTATTTCCTACTTTCATACCACTTTCATACCATATTTAAAACATGTTTACAAGATCATTTAAATATTCTATCATGCTGAGACAAAATTTTATGATTAACTCAGTACTGCCCTCTTTGGATGTGAAAGTTTCTGCCCACTGATGTAGTTTAAATGTTCTGAAAACTCTCTTCAATCAGATCCATAAAATTTGTAATGCTTTCCATAAAATTTGTAATTCTTACCTGTACATGACTTGTGAAATTCTAAGATTTCAGAGCTTGCTAATATAATGCCATAATAACTGAAGGCAATACCAAACCATATGGGCCAAATCTGAAATGTTGTTCTTCTATATTCAGCAGAAAATATATCTGCAAATTTGCCTCTGGCCAGCTAGCAAAAAAGAAAAATGATAATCATATAAAAATTCAATTCCTCCCTAGGTGGAACATGACAATTGATCCAAATAACATGTATTTCAAATTTAATGAAGTCATAGCGCAATTTCATTAGCAAATCTTTTTGATGAATTGAATACCAGAGCACATAATAGAAATGTCTTTCCAAGTTTAAAATAAAACCAGTACCGTAAGATGAAAAGGTACGGTTTTCAAAATTCAAAGCATGTGGTATTTAACCTATTATAATCTAGAAGCAAGTGGGCCTACCACTGGTGACTTCTGTAACTCTCCTGATGGCAGCTCTGCATTGTTTAACTTTGCTGCTTCCCTAAGAATCTTCATGGCTTTTTCGCGATCCCCAGCAGCCATCAAATATCTTGCCGATTCTGGGATGAACTGGGAAAGTAAAATGAAAATGACTTTTACACATCAGAGGAGAACTTGGAAAAGCACAATGGGTTTTTCTGAAGTCACTGGCGCAAGTAAAGATTTCCTCCCACAGCAGAGTGTGCTAAACACCAATGATGCCTCTGTTTTATCAGGCATTATTACCAAGGGGTGCTATCAAAACTTGCACCAGTGATGCCAATACCTGGTTCATAGCCACTGCTTCCCTTAAATAACTCCTGAAGTGTTCATAAAATGACTGCAAATGACTAGAAGTTAATAATGTTATTCATTTTTAGCCCCAGAAAGTAACATACCCCTTACACTGTTATTCATTTTTAGCCCTAGAAAGTAACATATCTCTTAGTAAAATACCTCTATTTATTCTTTTCTTGGGACAGCAAAATAATTTCAAAATTGATGTATTTTAAATATATTTAATTGGCTTGGTTAACATTATTATTATCATTATTATTAATATAATAACTATTCTTATAATTATTCAATAAAACTCACATAAAAGAAGAAGCAGCTGACCCCCAGTGGTATGGCAGACAGAGCAGCCAGCCACCTCCAGCCTTTGGTAGGAACTACAGCCATGGCAAGGATGATCTCAAAACAGCTACCCGTGGCCCAGAAAATCTGCATAAATATTAAATTATATATGGTTTTTCATAGTAAAAGATATTGCAAATAAAAGTGTTCAATATATACATGCTTTGGTACTATTTGAAAAGAAAAAAGAAAAAAAAAACAGGTTCCTGGCACCTTTTTACACAAGATTTGATCTTTTTTGCTTTTTTGCTGAACTATATATACTCGTACTCACATGATATATAATAAGTGTCTTGGCTCTGTGCTTTCTAGGGAGATATTCTGCCAGAATTGTAAACCTTAAGAATAAAAGTAAAAAATATCTTTAAGAAAAATCAAATCAGTTTTAAGCTATTTGGAATAAAAAATGTGACATTCTGATGCAAATGTTGAGCTCAACAATGTATATTAAAATATGTCTTTTAAAAGATAAAAAATGAGTGACCAGTAAAAAGAGCACTTCATTTTCTTGTACTGCAACATATGTTTGGTATTTCAGAAAGAAATAGAATAGTTTCCTTTCTTATTTACATGGAAATATCAAAACATAAACTTGCCATGTACAGGGTATTTTTCCCTACAATTTACCATGCAGTGAAGTACAGGGTACCTTTCAAAATTAATTAGCAAAATCCAGTAAGCACTCAGTCATATATGATCACTGTATGGTCACTATACTGTCCAGCAAGGAAGAACACTATGCTAGAAAGTTGGGTGTATATAAAAAAACCTCCACTGTCTTAAGTGCACTTTTTTACTTACGCCTGGGATGCCCCTCCTATCCCGAAACCCACCAGCGCTCTCAGCACCAATATCCAGCCATACACTGGGCTGAAGGAACTCAGGAAGCCAAAGAAACTGATCCAGAGGCCAACAAGAAGCAGCATCTAAGCACAAAATGTTATAATGTGAAGCTTTTATTGGGCAATAAATGTACTTGAGTGGCCGAGCACTAAACTACCCGCTGACATTATCAATATAAGTCTATCAATATGAGTTTAGGCCTTAACTGAATGTAGCATTAATGCTGCATTCCCCTGGCTCTGAATACCACAATCACATATTTGCTTTATTAACTGCTTTTGGTCGAGATCTGAAATTAATGTTAATATTGTAGGTTTTAACTAGGAATGAAAAAGTAAACATAAAACAAAAAACAGTCAAGTTAGCCTATTACAGCCCACCTGCCAGCCCATTTGTGACCCACATGTGGTGTAGTTGGGCTATCAAGGAGATGGGGCCTCCAGACCAAAATTTGTGTACAGTATGGGCATCCAACCATTGAACCTAGGGCTGGCTCAAAAAGTGGCCCACAATACTCCGAAACAGTTCCCTAACAGTTCTGCCCTAACAGTGTGTTGCAAGTTAAAGTTGGAATGTGTGACGTGTGGGAATTTTCTAATATGAGCATAAATATAATTTTTATCAATTCAATTTTCACATTTTTGGAAAATCTTATAACACATCACTGATAGATCAATATAACTAAAGTTGGATGAAGCTAGCTAAGCATAAAAACAAAGTTCATATGAGAATGACGGTTGTTTTTGTGAAGCATATATGTGACAGTACTAGTGTACTCACAAGCTATTTATAGAATGTATCACATTACACCACCATCATTAAATAAAACGTCAGCAAATAAATGCATGTGAGATTTTTTTTCTCAAATTAGAACCATCATATTTTGCAGGTAATTTAATGAATGTATATATACTGGTTATTGGTTGGAAAAAAAAGGAAAGTATAGAGAGTTGATTTTATGAGTGCGTTCATGTGTGTTTATGTATACAGAGAAAAAAAGAATTAGCAATGCAGTCTCATTAGATTTTTATCATTTTGTTTAAAGAATGACAAAGAATTACAATTGTATCTTACCAGAACAGAAATGATGGCATTTTTCAAATAAATATTAAAGTGAGCTTGTAATTATACCCCAGCAATTGCACGGTCCATTTGTACACAGTCACCAGAGCAATGGTGTATTAATTTGGATACTATTAAATGAATATCTACATAATATACTCACAGGCCATCTTCCATATGTATCTCCACATTTTCCCCAGCCTGGAGCACCCACAAACATGCCAATAAACACTGCCTAGAATAAAAGTTTATAGCATTAAAATAATTTGCCCCTTTCATACAATACAGGTATATAAACAATGTAAAAGCCTAGACATTCAAAAACAAACATTATAAGTATTTTGAAATAGCTCAATATGCAAATAAATCATCTAGATGTTTAAACAAAAACATAATCACATCAATAATGAACATATATAAAATTTGTAATCAAGATATGCTCCCATTAAATATATAAAATAAGCAACTCATTAAACTAAAAAAAAATAATGCAATGGACACAAATGCATACATACATGTACAACAGATTGCTAAGGCTCATTCCCAATGAAATTATTGTTCTTCAGTCTTCATAGATCAATACAACTCTACAGGGACCCTTGCTGAATGAAATCAGTTTACTTGATTAACAAGCCTCTTCCTGGTTCAAACACACTTGTACAATCACTAGCTTTTCAGTCTGTATTCTACTTAACATCAGGAGGCTTGTTAATCTGCTTAACTACATTCAGTAAGAGTCCCCAGGGAGTTAAATAGATCTAAGTAGAAGGATAGTTTATTTGGGAATGACCCCTTAAATTACCGTTGTGATAAAGGCAACTTGTACTTCCTCGAGTAGCCACTCACATCTCAACACAGGACCCAGCACTGCCAGTAGTAACATCTCCATGGCATCTGAAGCCTAAATGAAATATAATATAAAAAAATTAAAATGTATGCAGAACAGAGCATTTTTTATAAGTTTGGTGTGGACAATTTTCTTGTATTAATAAAGTTATTTTTGTAACTCATACGCAGACAAAATATCTGTTGTTCATGCCAGAAGTCCACCCCTCACCACCCACCCCCCCAACCAAAAATGTGACCCACAACCCCACAAACATCTAAGACCAGATAATATCTTTTTTTCTAACCATATAGCCACTAACTGTTGGTCATAAATTCTTGTCTTGTCTCAGGAAAGAGGATTCGTAAACTGTAGATTCAAGGTGAAAATTTTAATGTGGTTTTACAGTGGGGAAGTTAATGTATTGAAGCAACAATAACTCTAAAACAGGATATAAAATTAATGCCATGCTATATAATGCCCCTATCACAACTCATCTGTCTAGACAATTATTAAATATCTTTTTTCTAATGCATGCAATAGAGAGAGACCTTTTAGACAAGCAGTGGTAAAATATCTAAATTTATATGGATGGTACCCCATTATAGGCAACATAGTTTTAGAGATACAGTGTACCTGTATTTTAAACAATGAACATGGCAAACAATAATTATGAAAATTGACCAAAGCACTGCATCATGCTGTTAGTCATAGCAACTTATTCATCATCGATGACCTAAATTTTGACATGTCAGCAAATATAAAGCATGAAGATTTTTGTCTAAAATACTTGTCTGCTTAATACAGACAGGGAAACCACAACATTGTCTAGAGCTATTTGCTCAGAGATATATAATCCAGCAAATGTTATTCAAAGAACACCTGAATTATGTCATCTTTGCATTCAGTATTAAACCCTCAGGAGACACAACTGTATAAATATGCATGCAAGCTATGAACATACACATTGGCATGGGCATAATCAAGTCTAATATAAATTTGCATTTATATATTATAATTATGTTTGAATATTTGTGTTACCAGCATCTAAGCTAATAACACCTTAAAAGCATTCCTTCAGTACATGGAATTGTCAATTCAAATTCAAATTTTTAACTTGATTTGATCATCCATTTGTGAAATTTTAGCTGAAATAACAAACACGTCATAGTGCCTTAAGAGTATGTTAGAGTAAACATAATATACATGTATCAGTTGAGCCTTGTTATGTACAGCACTCACTGTAAAAATGCCACAGAGTACAAATAGTTTCAGCTGGAACTTTCCAAACCCAATGGTCTCCACTGCATCTTCCACTGTGAAGTTAGCATGGTCCACTGAGCTCTCAGTAGTAGAGATAACTGGAGCATCACTGAAAGTGCCATGATCTGAAATAGTCAGTGAAACTGATTTAAAAACAGTGAAAAAAATGTTAATCTAAACAGTACACAAAATACAATGAACTGAAAAGGATTAAATGAGATAAAGTGCCATTCAAAACACTTTGATGTTGTAGTACAATGTACTCAGTACTTCTATTCAAAGATGAATGGTGCACCTTCTCCCCAAAGGCCTAATCGAACCTCTGATCAGTAATCTATCAACCCCCTATTTTATTTACAAATGGACAAATATTCATCAAACAACTGAACACATGAGAGAGAGAGACAAAGTAGCAGTGATAGGGTACATTTGATAATGTATACAAATAATTAGAGAGAGTCTATAATTCAAGTCTGCAATAAGGATGACCTTAAAGACCCTCCAGTACCTTCTTTCATGCGTTTATAAGAGGATCCTACAGGTTGCAGCTCCATTTTGTCTTGTCTGATGTAAGTCTAAACACTGCCTTTTGGCTGTCCAACTTTCCCTTAATCCATGCAGTCACAGCTCCAGTTCTGGTATTTGCATACTTCCAAGTATAATTACTGCAACACCACCTAGTAAATAATTAAAATACAGACTAGTTATAACAGCAGAGTATATTAATGATGACTTATTTGGGCCTATTGCAAGTTAGTATATGTACTATGGACAAACATCAGTCAGTAGTTGTATATGAACTCAATTAACTACACTATAATACATCCAGTAGGCACAGGCCTACCCAACTACCAGACTCGGCACCGAATTCACCAGAAGATCAGACCAAACTACCCTTTTTCAAGGTGTGCGTCAGTACGCATTTCATAGTATCATACCCCGGAGCAAATTTTTGAGATGAGATGTACTACTTTCCAACCCCACTGAGAATCATCTCTATCACAGCGTGCACTAGGCAAGAGCATTGTTGCGTCTGTTCCTTTGAAGTGTGTACTGATACACACCTTGAAAACAGGTAGTGTGGTACAATCTACCGGTGAATAATTCAGGATCATTTGGTGCCGAGTCTGGTAGTTGGGTAGGCCTGAGGCACTTAGGGGATGTTCCCAATAATAATATTGCTCAGTTTCTGGAAGTTTTTTCACTTCATATTGAATGTGATCTAAGGGTGCTTTCCTAGAGATTTAGATTGATTTAAAGATTAAGTTTTAGATTGACCTAAATCCCTGGGGGTTCAGGCTAAATTGCAGTCAGCCGAGTGGACACCATAGTTAATTACCCCCTTAGAGCTTTTAGTAGGCAGGACAGACGCTTAAGCCGGCCAAGCTGACAGTAATCTAGTGAGACTCCCCACAGGGATAGATCAATCTAAAAATCTATGGAAATGGGGTGTAATGCACACAAGAGATAATCACTCCCTAGCTGCTCAAGGAGAAGTGCCTTTCAGTTAATCTAGTTGCATTCAGCGAGAATCCCTGCCGCATTGGATCGATCTACATAAAACGTGCCAGTCCCAAAAATTTACCTTGAAAGAGCATTTAATACATTATCCTAGTCTGTAAAAAAAGTACAGTTTAGAGGGTCATTGTCTTTCTTCTGAATGCCTCTGCTTAGTATTTTGTCTCCTCCTCGTAGGACAGACATTTTGGAAAATGGAATAAGCCCCCCTCGTTGCATCCACCTGTGAAATACTTCATGGTAAACTACCCACACCTTATAAGACAAGGCTGGCAAGGCCTAGGTTAAGAAAACTTTGGACATTAAAACAAACAAAATATTATAATCTATGGATTCTTTAGTACAGGTACAAAGTTTGTCAGATATAGTGCTTCAAAATTATTGTCACATGTATTATAATTGAAATCTACTGGTGCAGATAATAGTGTAGCACAGTTTAGAGCCATGCTCATGCACCTAGTATGGCATAATGATGTATGTGATATTTAAATAAACATCACATTACCTGTTAAACCTTGCATGACCCCTGCATGCTTGAAAACTAATCAAGAGCATCTGTATTAAAGGTCAACTAAGCACGACTTAAAAACATTGATATATATTGATATTCAATGGAAAACCTTTAATAATAATAACAATATTTATTTATATATATATTCATGTTTGAAAGTTAAAGTTGGATTGTACTTGCACTACAAAAGAGGAACAAAAGTTATAAAATTATCTCCTAAAATAAGAAGAAGAATCTCAAGTTGAATAAATTTATTTCTGTGTTGACTGTGATTGCGACAAGAAACAGCCATACAATCATCGAGGAAAAAGAACTTTTATCTTACCAAAGTTAATTTATATTTATCCAAACAATCAATCTACTTAATTACTTATATTTATCTTATCATATACATTTACATTTAGTGTGCATGTGTGTTCTGTGCAAAAATAATACTGTTTGCAATGGTCCAAAAATAATCTTTCTTCACCACTCTAATTCATTACAGCACTCCAGTGAACATAAAATGCTTAAATGTAAGTCTAGAGGCTGATAACTACATGTATAGGGCTCAAACACGTAATGAATAATGAGCTAATGTGTCACTGACATAAATAGGATTCACATTAATACCTTCAGCACTGAAACGGGGTTTGATCGTGTGTGTGTGTGTGTGTGTGTGTGTGTGTGTGTTTCGTTGTGGAAGACTATAGGTAGACTGTAGTATATGCATAGCGTGTTAAAGAAATCTAAGTCTAAGCACGGAAAATTCCTTAGCACTGTTGCAATACTGTACATATACGGTATGATATACATTTAAATGATATGTTTAACATTCATGAGTATTGTACATATAAAATACGTTAATAGGACGGGTAACGCATGCATTTCTGTTCTAGTGGTACCCGAGTTCGGTCATCAAAGGTAAAAAATCTTGTGCTGACGTTTATGTAACCTTAATTCACCTGTCCCCATACGCCGATCACCATAAGGCCCAGATGAGGGAATAATTGATATAGCTCTTGATGGGCGTGGTGATCAAGCATCAGCAAAAGTTATGTTGCTATTTGCTCATTTTAAAACCATTTTGTAAGTGGCTTATCACGTTGTCATCTTACCTTGTTTTTTTTTCTCTCTGGTCTGATCTTCCTCCCTTGTGCCCTGGTGTCTCGTTGTGATGTGTCACTTTCAAAACGAGGCTCGGAATCCCCTTCCTTGACAAGAAAAGGTCAAGAGTTTTACATGGATTAACGCAGTAACTTGCGGTATATCCCGCGTGTTTTAGGTGTTGAAATAAATGTTAATCGATGATGAGCCACGTTTTGACATAAATCACGCGTGATTATATTAAAATAATTCTACAAATATGTTTTCTTAACGTTAGATGATGCGCCCAGCAGGTGTTGTTTTGGAAAATGAGGAAGAAAAATATATTTCAAAGAATGTAACATGGTTTCTTAATAAAAAAGCAACGTAAATGGGATAATATTTTCATAATTCACAGGGTAGTGTAAATACGTGTACTTGGATATTGCAGGGGGATACAAGGTAAATGTTAGGTAAGGAGATGATGAGAGATAATCATTGTCACCTGTTTACAGGATAATTCCATTGTTATTGTAACTATTAACTCGATTATGACAATAAATTTTGTGATTATGGTGGCTGCTGTGAAGGGGCTGTCATTATAACTGAACAACTCTTCCTGTTGGTTAATGTTATTCCCCCCTCCCCCCCCCCCCAAAAAAAAAAAATAATAATAATCAAATTTCCTAGCTGCAGATTTGCTGAAGAGTAACATTTTATTGTCAGCTTCTTAACTTGCCGAAAACCGAAATATGTGTGTTGTGATAAATGTAAAGCAAGAAAAGCCAGCGACACCAACAACTGGAAGTGTGCTTTTATTGATAAACTGTGTGAAACATACAATAGCTAATCTAAGTACTTCATCTGATCTACCAGCGCCAGTGAAACTAAGGAAGTGTCTTCTTCTTGGTGAAACAAAAAGGACGTATTTCGGGAAATCAAATATCGTCCATTTTCTATATTTTACTTTAAAAACTCAATGATCTAGACTAAAGAAAACAGTAGATCAAATGAAAAACCAAAAGGATGTGAAAGTGGATTACATGTACTAAGACGAGACCTTAATTGTCTCTATTAACTGAATGAAATTGTCAGGTTCAGTAAAATTGGACTGCTTGCACCATGCCCATGAAAAACTAATTCGGCATGATTTGTATTTACTAATTACAGCAATTGTAACCATTATGACAACATATGGTGCAAAATCACTGTATACTGGTATCTAACATTGACAACAAATCTTGGGATACATTCTGTTAAATCTTCATGTTTGGACATTTAACGCCTCAATAAGTAACACAAGAAATTACTGTTGATACCCGCAATCTTATTTAATTTCTGATCGTAAATCTCTACAACAACTCCAAAATTGGATTCATCTGTGTTATTACCTAGCGTACGGACAATCAGCAAAACCATGATCAACTATATAAATATAAGATATCAAAGTTAATGTCATTTTCAAGAGTTGTGAAAAGTTACATATATAGCCAAAGCTAAATGAAGGGTTGGATTTTCTCTCGGATTGTACTTTTGGCTACGTGGTTCATGCTTTCGCAAGCAGCACACATTAAAAATGAAGGTACAGTCCTAAGCACATTATGTTTTAAATATTGATTTTTACAATAGGTGTGTCATTATTTTGATGATTTTGAAATTATATCCTTCTTCAAGTCATGATTTTATTTTCTAACTCTTTTGTTGGTTTAAAGTACATCTCCAAATTTTTCAAATTTAAGAAAATGCATGTCTTTGTAGTGAATGGTTTTAATAGATAAATATCTCACGTATTTTTTCTTTGGTTGCAAAATGCATTCGATTTGCAAAATGCCGCCCAAAAGAAGTGTCGAACAATGGGATCCATTGAACTTTATCAAAACTTTTTTTTATTTTCTTTAACAACCTAGAAATAGAACTGGTGACCATCACTGAGGTGCCGGGTCCGATGGCACGAGAGCTGGGCGCCTACACACCAGACGCACGGTACATATTCAAAGCTCACGGAAGAGAATTTGATCTTCGACTTAAGAGAAATGATCGCATCAATGTAAACAATATCCCCGTTTACGAGTCGGATGAGACTGGACGTCTTTTTCAAAAACCGATCGAGTTAGGAAGGAATGATGTAAGACCAACAATATTAAGTATCTTGAAGTAACAAAAGCATAATTAAAATCATAAACCAAAATAGTTGGGTATAATTGCCCCTCTTCATAAGTTCCTTCACCGAAAATGCACGTATGTATGAACAATGGTTCAAAGGTGTGAAATTGCATGTTTTGTTCAAGGACACATCCCCTGCGCCTTCCGTAAAAAAGACAAAGTTGACATTGTTCTGCCCACTATATACTTTTATATATATAACGAAGTCGGTAATATTTAAGCATTGGACGTATGACTGCAGGAATATCCTGGGTTTAATTTATCATGCTCTAGCATTTATTCCAGGATTTTACTCTTTATCAAGACCTAATCCGCAACGCTGCTGTTGCAGTGTACACTGATAAAAGAGACGGCAAATATCAGAAGAAGATGGTGAGCTAAGTCTCTCTCTCTATCTCCCCCTCTCTCTCTCTCTCTCTCTCTCTCTCTCCACGTTTCAGTGTGTTGTTTGTATGTGAAAATCAGTTAATGAAAATCAGTTTATGAAATGCATCAGTTACTAAGATAATGCCTGACGAAATTTGAAAAATGGCATTCAGCTAAAAAAAATTAATTCCATTCATTTCACAGGAAGGTTTTGTTATGGACCACGACATGATGTATGAACTCCGTCATGTAGAAGACGACAAGTATACAGTGATAAAACAAGACCTTGCTGATATGTCTGCTGGAGAGGATGACATGGAAGGTAAATTAAAATAAATAAGACAAATAGCACTGATATGTTTTAATTAAATAAGCGTTTTCCCCCGTCCATTGCCTGTAATGTTCGATTTGTTTTAGACAGGAGATTGGGTTTTTATATGTAAAACTATCATCGGAAATCTGGTTTATCTTATCATCTGGTATTATTGGTCTTTGTGGATCAATTTAGATTCATCGAAATTTACTGCAAGTTACTTGAGAAGCCAAAGCATAGCCAGCTTCCTCTACTTAGAGCACAAATACAGGATACAGAAACGTTATTATTATTATTATTATTATTATTATTATTATTATTATTATTATTATTTCAGAGAACCCAACACGTCGCCATATCAACCGGTTATCCGAAAAGACCACTCTGCTCCGTACCATGCAGGATGTGCTGGGCACCCTTAGCAAGAAGAAAACAGATAAAACCATAGAACTTAAGAAAAAGAAGAAGAGGGGATTCAGCGCAACCCACATTAACGCGGGCGTTGAGCTCATGATTTGCACTGACGATTCCATATGGGACACCTTTATGCAGCGCAACAACCAAAAGGCTGCTGCGGCGGAAAAGGAGTTAAAAAGATACTACGCTCTGATAGTAAATGGGGTATGTTTACAGGCCTAATATATTTACTCTCTATCAGGGCAAAAGATTGATTTTTCACTAGATTTTCACAGATATATCTCCGGCTAATTCTTGACGATTTTGTCTACTGCGAAACTCTGCATGGAATTGATCACCACTTATCTGGTCCACTGGTGTAGAGTAGCATACAGAAGTTCTATTAATGTGAAGAATACTTTTAAGTTGTACACACACACACACACACGCAGACACATACAGGCGCGCGCGCGCACACACACACACACACACACACACACTGACATTGAATCAAGTGCATTTAAAGAAATTATTTATCTACTCAAAGTTAAAAAGATAAACAGTGTGTACCTTGAATTCTATCATTCAACTCTGTCCATTATCTCCATAAATGAACTGACGTCTTGCTATAGACATACTTATGTACATGTTCAACTTCTTTCTGGCTAGTTACTAGAAGTATTTTTTTTCTAAACTGAACAATGTTATATGTGCGTGGCATGTTTTTTTATCATCAGATCGACCTTCGATTCCAAAATATCAAGGACCCAGATCTGAACATCTACGTTGTGTTAGCATCATACGTTATTATCAAGGTAAATTGTTTGCATGTATATCTTAAATCTACCCAAGACTGTATAAGATAAACAATAAAATGTTATGATAATGCATTGGCAGGTGCAGGTGCAGGTTAAAACGTACATGTGGACGATTTTACGTTTTATTAGACATAATACATTTCATATAATGTTCAGGGAATTGGCGGAGCCCCATGGATCAGCAGCAGCCTGCTTGGAGGCGAGAAGGACGGAAGAGAACTGGTGGATAAAACGAAAGCCCTCTATGGCTGGTGCGAGTACCGTGAAAAGAACTACGATGATTTCAGCGAGCATGATCACGGAATGGTATTCACTGCGTAAGTGTAACTCACGAAGCTAATAAATGGCATTTTTGTCCTCATCAATCTCATAATTTGCAAAAAAATGGACAATTTTTTATTTTTATTAAAAAATATTCATATTATCAGTCATTCGAAGGTTTTATGCATAACTAAAAAAAGCAAAAAGAAAGATAAGGTTTTTAACATATTATGTAATTTATAGAATTTGTTTCAATTGATAATTTGTATTAACCAAATCTATAATATAATGTAATTGCATTTACTGATGGCAAAGTGTTTAAATTAAAATATATAACTTTTACGTCATGAATATTACCTTGTATTGTACATGTATATTTGCCAATATTATTAATGTCTTTACATTTTCATTCATTTCCTTCCATAAGTATATTACAATTTCAGTCGTGAACTGGCTTCATCTCGAGGAAGCACTGGTGTTGCTGGCGCAGCATATGTTGGTGGTATATGCTCCAAGTCGCAAGCCTGCTCTATTGTAGAGTCTCACGGCGGATTTGGTTCATTCATTGCTGCGACACATGAACTTGGCCACAAGTAAGTAAATATAAATACATATAGACATGCATATGTGGTTTTCAGAGGAAGTGTTTTTGGCATTGATTACTTAACTATAAAAAGACCTCAGATAAAAGTATTGCCGGGTGTTCAGTTATTGTATCGTGTGTTTCAGTTGACTTTTTCACAATTTTTTTCTGCAGTGAATATATTATTTTTTTGACTGAGTGTGTTTCAGTCTTGGAGCCCACCACGATGGCGCAAGCAGTGAAATGTACAATAACGCGGCATGTGCTGGCGATGCAGGTAACGTGATGGCAGCGGAATCGGGAAGTTCAAACCCAAAGAGTGGTTATTACTTCTCCTCCTGCTCAGTACAGGAATTCAAAAAAGGACTACAGTACGTAAATCTAAAAAATGCTGTCCCTCTCTCTCTCTCTCCCTCTACTTCAGTTAGCGTACAAACGTGACATGTAAATGAAACAGTCTGTATAAAATTTCTTTTCACGTTTTTATCATTTGTAACATCAACATGGGTTGGAATTGTGAATGATCTATAAAATCTAACATGGGCGATCGTTTGTTTTAAGACAAGCTTGCTGTCTTGCTAATAAAGGACAATACGAAGATCCTGAACAATATGCGGCGCACACAAAACATCTTCCAGGACAGCTATACAACGCTGATGAGCAATGCCAGATGTTGTATGGAAGTGATTCCAGAATGTGCAGGGTATGTGATATCTCCAAATGTACCGTTATTGGTTAATAGCTATGTTTTCCTTTTAGCTAAAGATACTTTTTAGAAGCCTTTTTTACATTTTGTAAAAGTATGATAATTAATTTAAGGTCGCCTTATGGTAAACTGAAAATACCGAACGGCACGTAATTAAATTTCACTTATCGGTCAAGTGATTTTAAATAAATTTTCATAGATTATATAATTTACATTTTATTTCAGCCACTTGGAGATAGCGAGTACTGCAAGTATCTGCTGTGCTCTACCGTTGGCAATGCGTGTATACATAAATACAAACCACCAGCAGATGGCACTGAATGCGACGAAAATAAATGGTGTATAGAGGGCGCATGTGTGACAAAAGGGAAAACCCCGCCTTCGGGAAAAGGGCACAGTGGAGTAAAGACTTCGTGGTGTCCTTATGGTCAGTATATTTCTTTCAGTACGTCTTTACTTATGAGAGTTACGCAAATTGATGTCTCATTCAGACAGTGTGTTGTCCAAAAACAATGTTTGATTTGCACAGTTTCGTATGTCATATCAAAACATATAGGGGCCTACTTGTAAGTATCTCTTGACATTTTATCTTTTAGTGGGAGATTTTCCATGTTTTTCTACCATTTACATGCACATAGATAATAAACTGTGTTGTTACATTGGAAACTTCAGATGCGAGGTCAAAAATCTGAGATGCCAAGGATTTTTGTTCCCAAAACCCCGTAACGCCCATTAAAAGAAAACAGTTTGTATACATAATGTCATCATTAATAATAAAAAAAGGATCAGTAGACGCAACTAGCCATTTTGAAGAGGGTATGCTGGAAACTACGGAAACGGCGATCGTCTGTTCGTCATACCCTTAACACGACAATGCATGGCAAGTGCACGGAATTCAGCTTACCAACACCTACCGGATTAAGCAGTTCAAAACCAAAGGCGTAGTTAATTTATTTTGATTGATTGATTTCTAGGCTGGCCGAGTGACGTTTGCCCAGAATCTGACACCCCTATGGTCAATCTTGGCGCAGGTTTCGAGACCTGCCAAGACGTTATCAATCGTGATGGTGACACTTGGTGCTCACATAGTGAGTTCAAGGCCCCTGGTTTCTGCTGTTTTGCCTGTTATTATTTCCAAAAGGCTAAACAATAGGGTGTGTACTTATTTCCTTGTGAATGTTAAAATAACGACATTTTCTTTAATTTTTAAAGTTTTTTTTTAAATTAGTTTGGAATATAGTGTTTCTTTTGTGCACATTTAAAATTTACCTCAAACAGTCTTAATGTCTGTTTTCAAATGGATAATTGGCACTAACATTATTGTATTTTCTTTCAGAAACAAAATTTCCTATTAGACTTTTCGACCATTCAGTTCAGTTCTGGATTTAAAATTCCATGTAGATGATTTCCAAAACTGAAACAAGGTGCATTGTAGAACTGGTGGAGTAAAATTCTACAAACTCTATTTATTGTTTTCAAATGGCCCAAATGTCACCTATTAATATACTCAATAAATATTTTATCGCAAAGCAATTCTACAATTCGTTTTTTGTACTAAGCAGTACTACCAGGGCCTTGAGCAACGTGCGTCCTCAGGGATTCGTGAGTCAATTTGTTCGTAAGATCAACACGAATTACATTTGTACCCAATCAGCACGTTATGAAATTAAAGGGATAATAACTCTTCGTTTTGGCCAAAAAATGAATTTTCCTGGAGTAAACAACAATTTTTCCATACTTACCAATGGTTAATGAATCCATTTTTACATTCAAAGTTAGTCCCTGTTTTTTTTTCTAAAAATATAGCCGTCAGTGGAGGTCACGTGGTCTAAAGACAAGTTCAGATATCAGAATAATAGCTATAACTGCCGTTTTTGTGGAAAAACAGAATATGTTATATTTCTATGAATTGTTCACAATGTTTTTATTGTGAAATATAGATCTCATACGAATAGTTATTATCCCTTTAACTTAAATAGCCCAACTCTGAGTATAACCACTTATTTCAATGAAATAGACAATAGAAATTTCAAAGCACACCCAATGGGTTTGCATGGCATGTAGGACCCCACACAAATTACTTTTAAAACTGTTACCCTCTGATATTCAGAGCAAACTGTTAACCGGTAACACAGCACACACTACCTGCCACCCATGTGTGACACCTTGCTGTCAGGGGATAAAAGGTGACTACTCTGTCACGTGAGAGTCCCGAAACTCAGTAGAAACTCTTAAAAAAAAAAAAAAAAAAAAAGGCACTGACGTCTCCGCAAGTTAAAAAACGGTCCAGTTGACAAGGTAATCCGGGTTTCTGGTCGTTTTGGCCCTCATTTTTTTTTATTTCAGTCTTAATGGTGATAGTAAAGGATGTTTCAATATAAACGTGACTCTCTTACACACCCGTAATTTATGAACCATAAAATAAAGTCAATAAAACTCAAGATATTATAAGAGCTGAATCTGTCAAACTTTTTTCTAAAAAACAATTTAAGTAGAGAAAAAAATACATTCTAGACATCGACACACACATGTGGTCTTTGGCACGATGTAACCATCCGCCTAATGTTGCGTGTAAAGACTGATGAAAACTTTTCTTATGGCATAAAAGGCAAATGGGAAAGTATTATCTTTTTTCAACATTTGCTTTATCTTAGAATGCGTGTGAAACTGTATTTTCATAAATCTTGGCATCATTTGAAGTATTTGTGACTCTTCATCGACGTAAAACACGCCATTAAAGAGATTTTGATTGCGATTTGGTCCGTAAGGCCACAGGAGATATTCTTAAGGTATTCCATCAAAATCGATTTAAATGGCCTTTACGATGCTGTTCCTTTGGTGTTTTATGTCAATCTATATCTATCCAATATAAACGAACTTTACATGTATAGTTTGATTTTTATCCGAAATTCTTAGCAATTCAAGAGAATGCCAATCTACCTGCGTGATATAGGTTTTATCATATTGTTTCGTCTAATCCTCCTCCCCCCTCCCCCCCCCCCCCCCCACACACACACTTATTAAAAGAAAAAAATGCAAATTTAAAAAGTATTTATCAGTGACCTAACCTGCATGTTTTGATATAATGATCCCGCTTTCTTTCACATAAATTCAACTGGCATTATGCCTCATATGCCCCAACTCAAGAATGATTACAAACTTGAAGCACAAACGTGCTTTTACATAAACTACTTTTATGATTGTTGGTGATAAGAACTTTGTGCAACATGCAAGCTACATTTTCTCGAAAAAAAGAAAGTTTATTTTTTCATTTAAGTATAAATTAATAGTCCGACAGCATTTTTTTATACCTACATTTGTATGCTGGCAACACTTTTTATTGTAAAATTGACTTCAATCTTTTCGTGTCGCATTTAGTTACAATAAGAACGAGGTAATAACATTGATATAACTTGTTTTGCTGCATAAACCAAGCCAGATTGGCGACCAAGATATTTTAATATGAAATAATAACAAACTACAAATATGCCCGTAACTGCTTAAACTGGAGTTCTTCTAAACATTAAACGCATTTTATATCAAATGAAAATATTTTGGCAACATTACCCCGCCCCGCTTACCGCTGTTAGTGTAACATCGTCGTCTACATCGAGACCTCGGGTCACTTTAGACTTTGGTTGGAAATACTAATAAGAAAATAAATATTAAGTGAATACATAAATGAAATCAATAGTTTTCTTTAAAAACAGACCATTTTTGAGTTTTGGACATTTCGTGTCCTGCAAGCTTCGAAACAATGGACATGGTAGAGCTCTCACTGGGGCTGGTCCTCCTGTTAGTGGTGTATGGAGCAGGTACTATAAATTTTGTGCACGATGTTTTGTTTTCCTATTATGCAAACCAAGCTGTCATTTATTTTTTTTATATTATTTTTTTACTGTATTCTATATCGTACAAATTCATCTAAATCATTTTATTTCGCTTCATAAAACTGTCTTTTATTTCGTTTAAATTTTTTTGTTTCACTTTTAAAGAAAAAAGAATTATCTGGATACATCATTTTGATTGAAATACGCTGAAGATGCCATTTGGCATGAAAGCGCAATTTTTCTAAAGCTCATTTAAGTCTACCAGTAAATATCTATTATTACTTCAGGCAGCTATAGCCCAAAACACAGGATGGTTGCTCAGTGGGGTCCGTGGTCGGTTTTTACCCAGTGCACTGCCTCGTGTGGCGGTGGAATTAAAGTGAGGACAAGGTCTTGCGATGTCTACTACACTTCAGCTAAGGGCAACGGGTATGACAGCACCACTTGTCCTGGAGTTTCTGTCGAAGTTCTTCCATGTAACACCAAGAAGTGTGTCAGTAAGTAGATCACCGAAAGTTTTTGTCAATTTCTTCATGAATCCCATCAGGATTTTGTTTCTGTATCAAAGTTAATCTGTGGTTGACTAGCATAATTGGTCTTGAACATCCTATGTTACACATTTTCAAATTGTATTCATTATATTAAAAGCATCACTATTTGGTATAATTTTTCTCTTTATCTATTTATTTATCTCTTTTCTCCTTATATATTTCTATTATTATACTTTTACAGTTTACGGCGGATGGGCTCCCTGGTCGATCTTCAGCGGATGCTGTCATGGTTCGCAAATCCGCCACCGCAGCTGCTCCGCCCCGGTCCCCGTCAATGCTCCCGAGTGTAAAGGGGACGCCGTTGAGGTGACTCTTTGTTCTAAAGGCGCAAAGGAAACTTGTGGCGGCTGCCCATCGGCATGTCCCAAACGTAAGTTAAAATCAATAGGCCTTTTGCAGCTAGATGACTAGATGTTGACTTTTTTGTTTGCTTGATTGACAGCTTGCACTCCAGCATTCTTCTGTTCACTGGAGAGCAAGTTCTTTGGTAAACCTTTTTGCCACGACAAAGGGAATCATAGTCTAAAAGGAAGCCTAAGGCATTGCATGACGCCATGCAAGACTAGAAAATGTACGATAATCCGGGTGAGGTGGGTTAAATTCTTAATGTAAGTAAGTGTAAAACTTTATGTGCTGGTAAAGTTCTCTTAGAAAGCAATACAAAAGTGACACAAAAACGTGAAAAATTCATACTGTTGTGCAATAGACTCTATTTCGACAGAAAACTACTAAAAAATGTACGTGGATAAATTGTCATCTTTAAATAGTTTTCACATCGCATTCGCTAGCCAGCCTTTATTTCTTACCCACTCTCCCTCAAAATTAGGGAAATCTCGCATGATTTGATGCTCAGTCGCGAGACTTTGGGCTACTTTGGATGGTTCCCATTCCTGCAACTTCTTCGTTTAGTTTTTCTTGAACAAACCCATAATTTTTTGCGATTGTCATTTTTTAGATTCTCAAAACGAAAACAAGCAACATATTTTAATTCTGAAATAAAGTTTTCTTCCCTAAAAACAGTGTTAATGTCGGGAAATCTTTGAGAATATGCGAGTAAGGCAGTCTGTGCGTGGGCGTGGTCATATACCAAATTGAATGCCAGTGAGTACCAGTACCAGTGCATATAGATTATGCCCATCTTGCACTTAAAAGGTATATAATATTAAATACAGGTTTGAACAAATTACATATGACTTACTTTATCAAAATTCAAATGATGATGATATCCGCGTGTAATGAGATTTAATTTAATTTCAGCGTATAAGCCCTTCTACCAGAAGCATTAGATAAAAGGGCGAATGAAGACAATGAAGCGAATCAAGGCAAACTGAAGACAAGGCCCTTATCATAACAGTGACAGTTGACAAGAAAAGAGGAATAAGAAGATTGTGAAAATCACCTCTTGTGTGTGTTAGTTTGTCTCATTGTCACCAGCCTAACTCATAAAATCATGGGTGTATTTTAATGAAATGTTCATGATAGGTCACAAATGGGCTAACTCAGAAGTGAATATACATTGTACTTTGGTGATGATCCATTAATTAATTAATGATTAATTATTAGTTAATAATTTGACTTGGCGGAAATCTGCGCCCTCTGAATGCTTTTCTAGTTTGGGATTTGAGTTCGTGAAAATGTATTTATACTTATGATTTATTACATTAAATTGTAAGTTATGTATTAATAAAAACAAAAATAAATATTTTAGGGAAAGTTGAAAGAATCTCACCTACGAAATTAATTAAATGTCAGTGTTTTTGTAATCTTGAAACATTTTTTCTAATTTTCTTTTTGTGACATGCAATAAAAAGCTTAGAGAATTACTTTCTGAATTGTTATTGCTTTACACTGAGCGCATCTGGCTGTACCTGGTGAAATAACTTTCTCTGCCTCACCGGTGAATCTGTACTAAGAGCCTGAATACGGCTCAAACAAAAACTTCCGCTTGCGTTTCCAATCCTTCTCCATGTAAGATGTTGTTCCAAAGTTCCATCACATCACATTTGGAAACCATCCCACTTATGCTGCCACAAGGTCATCTTCTCAGTTTTTGGAATTAATCTCCACTACATATCATATTCGGTCCTTTTTCACAAAACGCACACACACGATAGTCTTTATGATGATGTCCGCCAGTTGCAAAAACCGAGAAACATTGAATTGTCAGTATAAAAAAAGGCAGACCAATGTCGAAACATACATTTCTGAAACCAATCATCGAATAACTTATAGAACCCACACCCCACTATCTTGTGCTAGAGCAAACATTATACACATCCCATCCTAGGCCAAACGACTCCACGTTGGCCAATTACTAATGCGATTTTTCTATAAAAACTGGGCACAGCTGCAGCAAGCAATGAACATTTTAAATCTGTTAAAGCACAACCCCTATGTAGCCATTCCTTAAAGACAGAGCACATCTGGGTAATAAAAGCACTGCACATCTACCACAATCCTGTCCCTTTGTCTCTTTGGTGTTGCTCTACAAACTTGAAAAACGAAACACGGTTTCACATTTCATCTTATTTCACAATAGATTGAAAGATCACTGCTACCCACTCAAACACATATTTGGTAGCATAACTGCTTTTTTAAAATCTTGATTAGCTAAAAACTCAAAACCTGTCATTGTTTGTTTGTTCTCCGTTATTATCAGTTTATAGCGTCTCATAAATGAAATTCAAAACGTTTAAGTGTCAGCGGCATGAGTCTTTTCTATCCAGGACATCTGTCTCGGTAATGAAAATATTGCATTTTGTTTCTGATTAGTGGGAGCCATTCTAATGTTCTAATTGCATAGCTCTATACTATAAAGATGAATATATTAAGGTTTCCTTTGATAAAAAGTTAATCTACGTTTAATCAATATTTGTTTATTCGTCAATCATAATCAAAATACTTTCAAACCCAGGTAAATGGCATTTGGTCCGTTCGCACATACATCTTTTTTTTTTCATTTTTGAACTAATGGGTTCAAGCACGAGGTTAATAAAATGCTAAACATCGTCAAAGCCAACCTAATTATACACCTAATGGTATTCCAAAACAATGCTGCACTTTAAACGTACACGATGGGTCAGCTTAATCCATTTGATTATAATTGGCGCGCTATCATCGACCAGTTTAAAAGGCTGCCCAAACCGAAAGAGGAGTGTCAGTTTCACCGACCGCGTCGACCATGTATTTACGTGCGCTCGTTTTCACTTTGGTGGTGGCTCTCACTGCAGGTATGTGAATTTCAACCCCCAAATATGAACTAGAGAATACAATATATTTTCATCTATATGTCTATTTACGAGCGCTACCATTGCCCAAGCGCAAGTTACTAGTTAGAAAAAAGCTAGTTATAAAAAGCGCCAATTTACTCGACGTTTGACTCGAAACTTTTTCACGTGCACTATGTTTTTTTTTCTTTTTTTAGATTTTTTTATTCTGTGATTTACAATATTTATCTATATATATTAATTAGAAGTAGTACTAGTATTGATTGATTGTTTAAAACATTTTATCTGTCAATAATTTGTCCTGCTAGTTTTCTTTAAAACACTTTACACCCTTTCAGTGCAATTTATCCCACCTTTCAGGGAGGCTAGGTCCTTTCAGTTTCCTGACGCCAGCCGTGAGGCCAGTCGTTAAAAAGACAGTGGTACAAGTCGCAAACTGGAGTCTGTGGAGTGAGTTCTCCATCTGTACCGCTTCTTGCGGCGGTGGAATTAAGTTGCGCAGGAGAGAATGTCTGGTTCGCCAGGTGTACAGCAAGACCTATGCTCCCGGTCTTTCCGTCTGTGCTGGCTCCTCCGTTGATATTGCCTTGTGTAACACACACCAATGCAAAAGTAAGTAACAGAAGAAACGAAAAAAGGAAAGTGCTAATCATCATACATGATTCTATAACATTATTTGACTTCATATAAAACTATTTAAATTTTTTTGCTCCTTAGATTTATGATAAGGTGACAACGCCAGCCACTTACATTAAATTGAAACTATCAGGGGAAAACATGAAGCGCTTAAACCTATCGCTAATGTCAAGCATGAACATTTTTAGTAGAAATAAGGAAATTTAGGTAGTTCGAAAAAACTGTCATCAAAAATTCGCCATCATCGCCACAATTGTGGTTTGCGGTCTCAATTGGGCGGAAAAAACAATAAACCAAACTTCTTCTGTACATATTCAATTATCTTTTTACTTCAGTCGAAGGTCATTGGGCGGCTTGGTCAGTGGCTACCCCGTGCTGCTCCGGCGTTAAGATCCGCCACCGTACCTGCACCAATCCCATTCCTGTCAACTCCCCCGAGTGTAAAGGCGATGCTGTTGAGACGACAGTGTGTGAAAAGGGAGAAACTGACGTGTGCGGATGCCCTCAGTCCTGTGCTCCTCGTGAGTTTTAAAACGTATTTTTTTAATCTGTTGAAGCAATTTTAATTGTGTATTTGTTTGTGTGAATATGTCATGCGTTCGTCTTCACGTTTGTAATTAAGGTTTGCCTGCTATGCTTGCACTATTTCTTTTGCAAAACCCCACATAAACTTTATATGATTTTCTTCGTTAGATAAAATAGGGCCTAATGCAAAAATTGTTGGCACTGCGTTAAACCAGATTGACATCAGTCTAGGTATAAGGTTCATAATATGTGATAACGTTAGAATGAAAATGTGCAAAAAGTGCAGCTATTGAATTAATTCAGACTGGCATCAGCCCAGGCACAGGTAAAGTAATAACGCTTTCGGGGTTTTAATCTCGGAAAATGTGCCGGTGTAACAGGAATGGAAGTCCGCAAGGAACCGTAGTCCGTTCTCCATTTCTTTGCACATTTGTCCCATCTACTAAAACACAACCTGTACTAATCATATTGAAACGCCGGACTTCCATTCCTAGGACTACCATTCTTGTCACACCGGTACAGACCGTATCGTTAATGTAAACAGCGAGGTGTGAAAGGAGTCACTTTTTTAAATCTTGAAAACCATACCGCTGTTCCATGTCATTTTCTCTTGTGTCATCTTTATCATCTGACCGCTAAAATTCACTTACCTGAAAAAATGAATTAAACAATAACTTATTTAAGAAGCAGAGGCTGCAACGTTTGTTTCCAATTTCAGGAAAATCACACTTCCTACCAGTTGAACATAAGTCGCCAGCCAAAAAGCATGGAGGATATGCGAACGTTAAAACTGGACTCGTCCGCGTCCCAAACAAGGGCTAAAACGGGATACACAAAAGAGGGAGAGAGAGAAAGAATAGAATTTCCACCATACATACTGAAATAACCAAGCGTAAGAAAATGACATTTGCGTTAAAAACATTCATTCAATCTGAGAACACATCGAACATCTACGCATAGTTTCAAATGGGAATCACATGCTTTGCATTTCTCCCGTATTCTTTGATCCAGATTACTGTGAACTTGATTTCACATCCCAGTGTACGGGAATAATGATTTTATATATATATATATCTGACTAGAAATTCAGTCTAGGAAATATTACATGTAAAAATGCTATTAAATTTGGCGACTGGAATTTTATAAACCTCTTATCAAATAAAATTTATGTTATTATAATAATGCTGAGACCGTATTATTATGTCGTTAAAGGAAGAAAAAAAGAGATAAAAACTTATGCAACCCTTCTTTATGACGGAAACGTGGACAAACCCACTTTTTGCGAAAGCCACAATTACAGTATAATAATTATTCATTATCACAAGTTTTGATTATTTGCATATTTTTCTAAATTGATTAAAATGTCTTATATCGAATTGATAAAGTTTCTTCTTGCTGCTTTTTAATCTGATCTGTTCAAATACGACGAAGAAAAAGGACAACAAAAGCACCCGTTGCCTAGTTTACTTAGAAAAACCTAAATTAACAGAATTTCTTTGCCACACCATTATTTTGAAGGCACGCAATGGGCATTAGATATTCCTATAAAAACCCTGGGAAATATTAATACTTTTCCATTTATAGCCAAGGCATATAACATCCAAAACCGTTAACAAAATTAACCTACAAGGGGTATAAACCGATTTTGAGTTTTATCTTTATAATTATTGAATCACTTCAGCCACTCTTATTGAGTCACTCTTTATGAAGAGACAGAAAGTTGAATTGCAATGACAGCAAAAATAGGTATTTTAAACTAGTAAATGGTTTCTGGCCAGGTACACTGGTGATATAGAAAAAATTAAATATTCGAGTTTTTTTTTAGTTTTAAAATCTAACGCACACTATATTTCTACAGTTTTTGTTATGGGCAAAGCAAATCTGAATTAAAGTTTAAGAAACAGGTTTAAAAAACATGATGGTAATTTATTCTTACAGATACTTACGATTACATGACAAATTCATAGTAAAAGACTGGCCACCTCTCTACATTATGCATTTTTGAAAACACCATTTTAACTGCATGAATAAATGCATCAACAGCATATTGCAAGTAACAGAGTTTTACACCGAGTAAAGAATCTAATATATATTTCAAAGTTGACAGTTATAAAGTGAAGTGTTTATACCAAAGTAAATTACTATATTCTTTTTTGTTCACAGTAAATCTTTTAAGCATGTAACAAAAAATTACTATTTTTCTCAACCATGATGAATAAATATTATCACTAATTGACACTCCTTTAAAACTACAATGTTTATAAATGAGATTATCATACATGTTGGGATTCCCCTTTTTTACATATAAAAAAAAACAATTTTAAAAAAGTTGTTAAGCTTCCTCTCCAGAATTTATTTCAGCCAGCACCTTTTCATTCATGGCTAAAATATTCTTAGCTCTATTCCCAAATGACATGGAATTAATCACAGCATCTCTGAAGTTCTCTAAAGGTACTGCACAAGCCTTTGGGGCTTTGAATTTCTTTTGTCTGATCATTTGACACAGAAAGTTGATCATTTCAACACTCTCTGCTGAGTTGACATGGTGGGCATTCCATTCTGACATCCAAAAGCCAAGTATTCTTATGTCACTGAATATTAGAGATCCTGTGCCTATAGTCACTGGTTTTCTTGACAACCCACCATAAGTGACCATAACTGAGCCCTTTGCTAGATGCCTTATCATGTTTGTGGCTACGTCACCACCCACACAATTCAATGCTAACTTTGGCTTTGATGGCAAACTGTTGATGTAATCCTTCATATTACTGGAGCGCAAAAAGTCCTCACTGACTACTTTAGCTGCACCGAGTGATTCATGGTGTTGAACACATTCAGGCATGGCATGGTTCCTCACAACGTTGATCAGATTGATTTTTAATTCCTTGCCAATTTGAGTAACAGCTTGACCCACTGCAGTATTACTTCCATTCTGAATAACGTAATCACCCTCTTTTAAGTCTGCAAAATCCTTCAGCATGCGGTAAGCTGTGCATGGATTCACTGCGAGTGTTGCTGCATGTAAAACAGGAATATCGTTCGGAACTGTCCTGATGTCACGTGGGGAACAAACATAGTGGGTAGACCAAGTACCAACGGAGCCGGCACGTGACGGGAGAACCCAGTCTCCAGGCTTTAAGTTTTGTACCTCAGCCCCTACTTCAATTATTTCACCCACGCCTTCATTCCCTCCTACGGCAGGTAGCGGTGGCCTGATCGGGTACACACCCTGTATTGTATTGATATCTGCAGGGTTGACAGGAGATGCAAGGACTTTCACAAGCACTTCTCCCCTCTGAATTTGCAGGATATCACCTTTACTGAGGCGTAAAACTTTTGAAGGATCTCCATACTCGTTGTATGTTATTTTTGAAACTATTCCTGGTGCCGAACTGAGACGCCGCACGGTGGGAACCCCAATGTTTTTAAAAGAACTTACAACCCAGGAAATTCGCATGGCCATTGTAGGTCAAGGTTACAGTTAAACTGGGTCAATTTATAAACGAAAACAAAGATCGAATAAAAACTTGAGTAATATTGCTCAAAGAGGTTTATAATAGTAACAAATAATCAGAATCAGAAAGTGGAAAAGTAAAATATATGTAAACCATGAATTTTGGCTTTTCTGCCACAATTTATTTTCCAGTGTTCGGTAAAATTCCTATTTGTATTAGTGCCTGTACTTCCTGGATACATCTGACAACAAAATGGCGGCCTCCACGATTATCTGAAATATATATTTATCCTGGCTGATTAACGGGGAGAATACATAACGATGTCTAAAAAACGAGCTAAAAGTGGTGCAGGTTCGGCGGGTATGGCAAGATGGGAACAGGCATTAATGCAAGCACAGTTTATTGAGGTTAGAACTATGCTTTTTAGACTTCTATTCCTGATTGCGATCAACATCAAAACAAAAATTGACGTTAGTTGAAATTTTAAATTATCGACGTTATGTTTGCGTTGTGTTTATTAAGTAAAAATAACAAGAACAAATGATGTTTGAATTTGAGAGTCAAATTTGTGCTCACTGATAAAATGCTAATACGGATTTGTTTTTATTCATTGATAACGGGTTAAAATGTTTAAAAACAGCCCTTATTTTTCACAACACTGCCTGTTTACATTAGGGATATTTAAATGTTCCAGTACTTTCTGTCATGTGCAAAAATTGAATGTATGAAATAATTTAAGTATTATTATTATTATTTATACTTCGCAGTAATAAACACTTACAATGAAGTTTTTAGTTATTTAAAATAATTATAAGATAATTATTTAAAAAGTTTTGGTTTGACAGTGAGCACCGTGGTAATACTGCCTTTTTCAAATAAAGTCTCAGCTATATACAGTGTGTTGATTGGATACATCCGTCAGATGACCTGCTAGCAGCTTGTTGTTTTTGTTACTCTTATTTGAAATAAATCTCTCTTAAAAGAGTCAGTTTTTTCAGTGAACTCCTAAGAGTAAGTATTTATATTAAAAGCTTCTTGTATTAGATATAGGTTAATAATAAAAAATATGATTCACTTTGTACCCAACAATAAACTATTTACCTTTTTTCTTTTTAGGAAACATGGAATGCAAGTATTATATTTTTAGTTGGAGACAAACTTCATGATTATTCACATCTTGATGTTCTTGCTGGAGTTGTGCAGAGTGGGATAAGAAGGTTATTCAGTGTTATATCAAAAGATGAACTTTTTGAAGAGGTGAGTAATTTAAGCATTGTATAATTACTGATTTTATTATCTTATCTGTGTCTTTGTCCTTGTATCTTCATATGTGCACAATTCTGAAAAAAGTATGATTAAAAGCAATTTTAGTTATTAATAAAAAAATTGTATATATGTCCTTATTATATGTTACTTTATATGTAATTCATCAGTAATTTTTTTATTTACCATATAACACACATTGTTAAGTTTCTCATCTTACACAATACATGCATTAGTACAGATTTTTTTTGGCTTAAACAGGTCAGAGACCTTGGTGGAAAAGGAGGAGGAAAGAAAACGAAAGAGACTCCTGCTCACATGGAGATCTGTGAAAGTGTGAAATCATACATAGACAATGATGAAGAAATTCCACTTCCACTGTTGGCAAAACTGATGAAGTTTAAGCTACTGTGGGTGAAAAGTAATGACTTAAAAAGAAGGGAAACAGAAAAAAAGGTATTGTGAAAGACTTTATTTGTTGTAATATAAGTTTCAATATGTTTTTANATGATTATTCACATCTTGATGTTCTGGCTGGAGTTGTGCAGAGTGGGATAAGAAGGTTATTCAGTGTTATATCAAAAGATGAACTTTTTGAAGAGGTGAGTAATTTAAGCATTGTATAATTACTGATTTTATTATCTTATCTGTGTCTTTGTCCTTGTATTTTCATATGTGCACAATTCTGAAAAAAGTATGATTAAAAGCAATTTTAGTTATTAATAAAAAAATTGTATATATGTCCTTATTATATGTTACTTTATATGTAATTCATCAGTAATTTTTTTATTTACCATATAACACACATTGTTAAGTTTCTCATCTTACACAATACATGCATTAGTACAGATTTTTTTTGGCTTAAACAGGTCAGAGACCTTGGTGGAAAAGGAGGAGGAAAGAAAACGAAGGAGACTCCTGCTCACATGGAGATCTGTGAAAGTGTGAAATCATACATAGACAATGATGAAGAAATTCCACTTCCACTGTTGGCAAAACTGATGAAGTTTAAGCTACTGTGGGTGAAAAGTAATGACTTAAAAAGAAGGGAAACAGAAAAAAAGGTATTGTGAAAGACTTTATTTGTTGTAATATAAGTTTCAATATGTTTTTATTGCACATGTGTTAATAGAACACTTTTCACGTAGATTGTGTATTTTATTTGTAAACCACATTGATGTTCCAAAATATTAAAATTGCACTTGTTTTAGTATATTCTGTGTATGTAGTTTGATTCACTTGATTACATCTCACTTGTTTTGTGATTCTAAGGGAATAAAACCAGGCAAAGGGAAAAGGGTAAGGTTATATGTGCAGTAGGTAGGATGCTAGATGTTAGTTATGATTAAGGTGCATGGGTCTCTTTTTATTCTAGATAGTACATGTATACTATATGTGATTTCCCATTGTTTTATTTTCATTATAGTATTTTTTATTTCTAGTTTCATTATGCTTTTGTTATAGATAAGAAAAAATTAACATAAATTTAAATGAAAAAAACACTTACTTGGATAAAAAAAATGCATGGAAAATATGTTTTTGGCAATAAACATTTTTTAGGTTATAGTGTGCATACTGGTATTTACGTATGTAAGCATGCTTTTATATATTACTATGGCTGTGCTTTATGATATAATTTGCTGATCTCTAGTTACTGTATCAAGTCAATTTAACACTGAGTAAAGAGTAAGTTCATTATATCCAATTTCTAATATGACTTTACATTTATTTGTCTTATTGAATTTCATTGATACTGGTTTGTCAAACATATATGCATGTATTTTTGAATGAAATTGATTTGCCATCATTGAGGTAACAAGGACTGGGGTATTAAAAGAATAAATAAATAAATACCCATAGCATGTGTAAGTGTATAAATTGTCTATGGACTAGTTGCTCTTAAAAGCCATAACACTGATTAACCCAAATATGATCTTTTATGCAGTAAGAAAACATTGTGCTATATAAACATCGAACATAATAGGGATCACTAGATGTCTCTGTTAATAATGCATTTTTATTATTTATATTTTTATCATCACTTTCTTAAATCAATCAGACTCATAAATCTAAAGACTTTTAATTTAATGAATTACATAAATGAATACTNATTGATAACGGGTTAAAATGTTTAAAAACAGCCCTTATTTTTCACAACACTGCCTGTTTACATTAGGGATATTTAAATGTTCCAGTACTTTCTGTCATGTGCAAAAATTGAATGTATGAAATAATTTAAGTATTATTATTATTATTTATACTTCGCAGTAATAAACACTTACAATGAAGTTTTTAGTTATTTAAAATAATTATAAGATAATTATTTAAAAAGTTTTGGTTTGACAGTGAGCACCGTGGTAATACTGCCTTTTTCAAATAAAGTCTCAGCTATATACAGTGTGTTGATTGGATACATCCGTCAGATGACCTGCTAGCAGCTTGTTGTTTTTGTTACTCTTATTTGAAATAAATCTCTCTTAAAAGAGTCAGTTTTTTCAGTGAACTCCTAAGAGTAAGTATTTATATTAAAAGCTTCTTGTATTAGATATAGGTTAATAATAAAAAATATGATTCACTTTGTACCCAACAATAAACTATTTACCTTTTTTCTTTTTAGGAAACATGGAATGCAAGTATTATATTTTTAGTTGGAGACAAACTTCATGATTATTCACATCTTGATGTTCTGGCTGGAGTTGTGCAGAGTGGGATAAGAAGGTTATTCAGTGTTATATCAAAAGATGAACTTTTTGAAGAGGTGAGTAATTTAAGCATTGTATAATTACTGATTTTATTATCTTATCTGTGTCTTTGTCCTTGTATTTTCATATGTGCACAATTCTGAAAAAAGTATGATTAAAAGCAATTTTAGTTATTAATAAAAAAATTGTATATATGTCCTTATTATATGTTACTTTATATGTAATTCATCAGTAATTTTTTTATTTACCATATAACACACATTGTTAAGTTTCTCATCTTACACAATACATGCATTAGTACAGATTTTTTTTGGCTTAAACAGGTCAGAGACCTTGGTGGAAAAGGAGGAGGAAAGAAAACGAAAGAGACTCCTGCTCACATGGAGATCTGTGAAAGTGTGAAATCATACATAGACAATGATGAAGAAATTCCACTTCCACTGTTGGCAAAACTGATGAAGTTTAAGCTACTGTGGGTGAAAAGTAATGACTTAAAAAGAAGGGAAACAGAAAAAAAGGTATTGTGAAAGACTTTATTTGTTGTAATATAAGTTTCAATATGTTTTTATTGCACATGTGTTAATAGAACACTTTTCACGTAGATTGTGTATTTTATTTGTAAACCACATTGATGTTCCAAAATATTAAAATTGCACTTGTTTTAGTATATTCTGTGTATGTAGTTTGATTCACTTGATTACATCTCACTTGTTTTGTGATTCTAAGGGAATAAAACCAGGCAAAGGGAAAAGGGTAAGGTTATATGTGCAGTAGGTAGGATGCTAGATGTTAGTTATGATTAAGGTGCATGGGTCTCTTTTTATTCTAGATAGTACATGTATACTATATGTGATTTCCCATTGTTTTATTTTCATTATAGTATTTTTTATTTCTAGTTTCATTATGCTTTTGTTATAGATAAGAAAAAATTAACATAAATTTAAATGAAAAAAACACTTACTTGGATAAAAAAAATGCATGGAAAATATGTTTTTGGCAATAAACATTTTTTAGGTTATAGTGTGCATACTGGTATTTACGTATGTAAGCATGCTTTTATATATTACTATGGCTGTGCTTTATGATATAATTTGCTGATCTCTAGTTACTGTATCAAGTCAATTTAACACTGAGTAAAGAGTAAGTTCATTATATCCAATTTCTAATATGACTTTACATTTATTTGTCTTATTGAATTTCATTGATACTGGTTTGTCAAACATATATGCATGTATTTTTGAATGAAATTGATTTGCCATCATTGAGGTAACAAGGACTGGGGTATTAAAAGAATAAATAAATAAATACCCATAGCATGTGTAAGTGTATAAATTGTCTATGGACTAGTTGCTCTTAAAAGCCATAACACTGATTAACCCAAATATGATCTTTTATGCAGTAAGAAAACATTGTGCTATATAAACATCGAACATAATAGGGATCACTAGATGTCTCTGTTAATAATGCATTTTTATTATTTATATTTTTATCATCACTTTCTTAAATCAATCAGACTCATAAATCTAAAGACTTTTAATTTAATGAATTACATAAATGAATACTCTTCACTGGCATGATGTTTGACTTAAAAAAAAACAGGAATAGATTATCACAATATCATTATACATGTTGTATATATGTTTATTTTGTTATTCTCAGAATGCTGCAGACAGAGAAAAAGCTGCAAAGGGTGGTGGTAAAGAGAGAAGCAAGTCACCTGCCAAAGGAAAAGGTGGAAAGAAGACCCCTGAGCCTCCCTCGGCCAAAGTAGGGAGCAAATTGAGGAAGAGGGGAGAAGAAGACCTGGACAGCAAATATATTGGTGAGATATACTGTTATTTGCACCATTGCAATCTTTAAAGCAGCTTCTTGTGTATTTATTGTTGTGAAGTTTACAGTATATGATCTCTCTCTGAATAAATTTATCTCCTTTGGGCAAATAGCTGCTAACTCCCTCTCAAAGTAGACACCATTCACTTGACCATGGTAATATGTTTTATATTCACTTTAATGGCAAGATGTAAGCTAAGATGCCTCTGTTATCGGGTCTGATCTTGAGTTCCTAATTCTTAATGGGTTTCCCACCTATAATTTTATGTCGTATGGGGTCATCAGATACATGCAGGTTTTCTCTTCTAAGATTCTAATCAACCAAAGAGTTCAGATATTAGAGCTTATTCACCTGTCCCATTTTTCTGGTTAATTTGACATTCGTTGTGGTTTGAGAAGAGCTCAGTTTGTACAACATTTGTTCTGCTTGACAGGGGTAAAAGACTTAGTTTCTATTTTAAATATAAAAAGCTCTTTCTCGTGGGGCGCAACTTAAGAAGATCTATAGACTATCCTTAGTTCAAGCTTTCTCACCCAACACCCTAATTATGACTATTAACCGCAAATGCCAATCAAATGCCATGAAGCTTACTTTAATTATGTGCACGTTTTTTACAGAATGTCGACCTTCTACCAGACAAAATTACTTGCATGTTAACTCCCATCTGTAGTTTGTCTTGGTGTCAGACCTTCAATTACACTCTTTCACTTCAGACGATGAGCCTGATGATGGTCCCCAACACTACATCTTTGTGTATGGTTTTAACCACCCTCACCTGCCAGTCTTTATGTCTGACCTGGGCCTTAACATAGATGCCATTGTTAAGATCCAATCAGAAGACTACAGCAGATATGCCACACCCCCTCCGGCACCACTTCCTGAGGGGGAGGTACCACCAGAGAAAGATGAGAAAACACTTGGTATGTAGAAATTTTTAAAAAATGTAAATGATTTTCAAAAATGTATGAGTAGCAGCAGTCATTTTAGTGGTTCCTGGATGTGAAAGTCACTAGATACAATTTGATTGCAATCAACTAAGTGAATAGGTCACGCATGGCTAATGCTTGCTATGCCTGAAAACAAGTAATGAAAACTGTTCTTTAAAAAATTGATAATTTAGATCTAACACATTTAGGCCCAATTTAAAAAAATTGAATGTTTCGTCTTCATGTCTTAGCTCTTGAAGAAGAAGCTCTGCAAAAGAAACTGAAAAAGCAGAAAGAGCTCAAAAAATTCTGGAGAGATATTCTTCCTATCATGCAAAACCAACCCCACAACTCCAAGCTCCATGATGTAGCAAGACTTGAATACACTGTGAAAGAAGCCATTATACCTGATAACCTAGAGGATAATGAGAAAAAGGTATGAAATGATCTGATTAGGTCTTTTATAATTCTTATTCATATAAACATGTAACACGCCCATTTTATCACATTTCCTCACATTCAACGTTAAGCACAAAAATTCCATATATAACATACATTAAACAGTTGGAGAGTTATTACCTTAAATTATTATAACTGTTACTGTTAAAATGTTTTTTCTTTTCTTTTTTAACATTTGCTCACTTATGTTACTTGAGTCTGTGATTATAATCTAAATTTGTTAATTTTTTTGATAAACAGTTTGATAGACAGTTTGTTATATATCAATGCTATTTCCAAACTGTTCTTCATTTTTATGTTTCAGACCAATTTTGGTACACTCTTATTTGAGGATCTTGCCTGCATGGCTTATGACCTACTTGATGCCAAAAGGCTTTATCAGACATACCTCACCAACATGAACTTATTACGTATACCTGTCTATGGTGAGGCTCCACCTGCACAGCCGCCGCCAGGTAAATTGCATAGTTCTATATATATCTTTAGCAGAGTTACATATTTTATAAAACTTCTGATAGGTAGCTTGCTTAGATGTCATAACTTGCCATATATCTTTTCAGATGGTACAATTGAATGTTTACTCTTGATTGTGTTAAATTGCAATATTAATCAGATTCGATTGTAAATGGTTTTTTAGTGTGTTTATTTTTGTTCAAGTAACGCCAACTTTCAAAAAAAAAAAATAATAAATAAATAAATAAAAGAAGATAAATAATCAAGATAGATAAATCTATAAGAGAAAGACAGAAAAGACAAAAGATTGACTTTTTGTAAAATCAGTTAACAATTCACAACAAGTCATAAAAACATTTTTAATTTATTCAATTGTATAATAGAGGGTGGTGCACCCCCAGCGGCCCCAACTCCTACACCCCAAGGTGGAGCTCCTGCAGCCCAGCCACCAGAGGGAGCCCCTAGTGGAGCTCCAGTTCCTCAAGAGGTGGACATGAGGTACTACAATGACCTGATGAATTCTGTCCCCCAGGAAAGTGTCAGTGTGCCACTGATAATGCACTGCATGCTGGAGCAGATCCAGGCCACGGAGACAGAGAAAGAACCCCCCAGTGAAACCCCTCTCCCCACTAGACCTGATGGCCTGGACAACCAGCTGGCTGCTCACATTAGTGGAATTGCCTTTAAATTGTCTTTGTCTAAGGAGGAACAACAGGTAAAGGATTCATGTTTTTAGATTAAGATTTAAGATGTCTAATTTTGTTTATCACGGTGAGGTAAAATAGAACTGTGATTTGACTGTGTGTACTGCAGTGCATTGCTACAAATCAGTTTTGAAGGATTCCATTTTTGTTGGCACTTTTTTTCTTGTTTTTAAAATAAGCATTTTACGTAGATATTTGTTTCATTTTAATTCAAGCTTTTGGCTGATGAGTTTGATGAGCCTGAGAAGAAACCTGAAGTCTTTAAAGGTCCCCTCCTCCTAAACCACAGTGATCATCTGTCTGAGCGCACACACCACCTGCACTCCATCAATGGGTTCAACCCCAAGGAAGCTGAGCTCGACATGCTGCAGTATTTACCATTTGCCAAGCTAGCAAATTTTGAACAGCCCTCCAATAAAGTGGCAAAGGAAAGAGCAGCACGGCTTCAGGAGTTGATCCATTTTTGTGCAACTGAAGGACTGACACCTTCAGGTAAAAGTCTGCTGTTTAGCCTTACAAGTGCACTATTGCTGGAGCTCAAAAATGTATATAGAAAAAAGTGCTTAAAAAGAGCTGTATTCCATATAAAAAATACAGATAGTCGTTTAAAATACAGTATTACTTTAAGCAAGAACTCAAATGTATATATTGAATAAAAGAAAAAATATTTTTTAAATCTGCAACAAAAACAAAATATCATACCTTTTTTATAATCAATAAATACTATTCTGTACTACCAATTTTTTTTTGATGCCATCAAACATTTTCAATCCTTTGTGTCACCATTTAAAAATTGTTTTAAGTTCCAATGGTAACACTGTGACTTACTTTAGTAAAACATACATGTATATCATTTTTTTAGAAATTGACCGTGCTTTCAAGCAGTTCGTGTTTGAGTGTATGGACTTGATAGAGACAGAGGAGACTGGGATGGTAGGGGCTATCCCACTGTTCCACACTGCTGTACCATGGGACGACCCTTACCCATTCTTTAAGGGAATGATTCCTATGGGGGAGAAAGTGGAGGAAAAAATTGAAGCTCTGAAAGAAGCTTTGTCTGAGAATTCTCTGGAGGATGAAATCAACTCAGGTACAGAGGTGGTTGGCATGATGTTATGTGCGAGTGGCTTAGGGATAAGTTTGCACACTTTCTGCAGGTAGAAAATGTCTAGAATGGCATTAGAAAAAATCATACTAGCTCTTTTGGCATATGTATCACTTCTACCGGTAGCTTGCTTTTTATTGTACCACTGGGAGTTTTCTGCAGTGTTTTCTTAAATGCTTAATAGTTGAAATATCCTTAAACTTTTTTCATAATGATAGAATTTAATGAATTTGACATTTTTTCTTGCATTTTCTTTCTTGGTGCACAGACAACTTTCATCATCAGTTTTAATGAGTCTTGTGTGTTCTACACTTTGCTTTATTGCATTCTTTTCTCCTCATTTCCTCTCTCCTCTGTAGATGTTTTAGAACCAGAGCTTTTGCCTTCTTCTTATGATGTGGATGGAATTCTCAGCCCCTATCCCCGTCCTCTCTCACCAACACCTAACACTCTTGACTTAGACTTTAGTAAGTCACCCTCACCTTCTGATATGGAATTCTGCTTTGTTCACTCTTCACTGCAATGCAGTTATTTATAGAGACATACATGAAAATACTCGCTTATTTCTCTTTTTTATTTTTATTTATTATGTTTTGGGGGGAGGGGGTTAAATTCTCTTCATTTGACCTCTGATGGGAACTTAAATTTTTTTTTTTATTAAAACTCATCATTTGTTTTTTTACTGACTTCTGAATAACATGGAACATATGTTGAAACAGTTATGTATTGGATTAAGAACACATTTTATCAAATATCTTTTTATTTTTTACCAATTGTTTATTATGGCAAATCAATTCTTTTGGAAAGCTCGAGCCACCAGTCAACAAAAAGTAAACCAGACTAACTCAAGGCCCCAGTCTGCCTCTTCCTCTCAGGCTGGCAGTGGACAGGGGTCAAGACCAACCACCCCCGGGATTCTGAAGAAGTCTGATAAACCAGGATCAGCTACTTCAGCAAGGAGTGGTAAGTTATTGCCTTGTTTCATTTAATTTATATGTGGAAAGGTAAGGTGTGTAATTACAGGGTTGGTCAGTATTATATAACCTCCTAGCTATGTCTCTTGATGGTCCTTCTGATATAGCAATTGAGACAATTATTTGTTCTGACCTGGATTGCTTGGTCTGTTGTGACAAACAAAAATAGACCCTTGTTTACAGTTTGCCTCGCATTACAGTAGTAGTACTGTTAATGGAATTTGTTGAAAATTGTGTTTAAAGACAAAATGCAGCATTGCTACTCTAACATTGATTTACACTTTTTGTCTTACATTTCATATACACAGATGTTCAGCAGAAATGTTTGCATGATGTCATAGCCTTGCTGACCTCTGAAATCCCGATTAATTAAGTACAAGTATATATGGTCAACTTATATTTTCAGCACATTCTGTCCACTTTGAAAGAGATGAGAGTGGGAACCCCATCCCCTCCAGACCCATAGCTCTAAAGGATGAAATAGAGGAGCAGATATCGAAGGAAGAACCCACAAAGACCCCAGAAGAGAGCATGGATGAAGTGGTGGATGCACAGAAGAGACAGTTGGACAGCTGGTGTTTTGCAGAACACTTTGAGCCCCACGTTCTTCTCCAGGTCCTGCAGAAGGCATCCTACAGCCTGCCCTATGTGGACACCTATTATCACAAGAGGGACCACTCCCTGATGGTGGTGCTGCACAACCCACAAAACAGGGAGATGCAGAACCACACCACCTGGTCTGTTAAACTTCATGCCAATGTGGGCTTTAGGTAAATATGCCAGCTCTGTCATAGTGCCATGACTAATCTCTCTGTAGTCTTGTTCTAAGTGGTCAGACAAAAAAAAAAGAAGACTTTTTGACCTCACTTCGGGAAGGATGATAGCACCTTCTCATTATAGGTGTAATAATTTCTTTTATTTATAAAATAAGCCATATTCTCTGGTAATATCAGAAGAATTATTATTATTTTAATAGTTATAACCTAGAGCTTTTTAAACATAATTCTTAATTTATTCTCATCCTTTACAAAGAAATTATTTGGAGCATGTTGCACCAGACATAGAGGACTGGCTGAAGGAGGAAGAAGCAGCATACCAGGCCAATCTTCTGGCCAATGAGGTGGAAAAGTTGAGGCTGCAAGATGCTGTGGCAGCCACACCATCCAGTACAAAGAAAGGAAGAGCCAAATCACCTCGAGCTAAATCGCCAAGTAAGTGTGTCATTAGACTGGGATTCACATTTGTTTTCACAATTGAAATTGTTTATTAAAGTTAGATTTGTTGTAAGAACATAGCAAATTTAAAATAAAAATCTGTGTGTGTGTGTGTGCATATATGCTATTGTTAATGTCACTGGGTGTGTGTGGATGTGCACATAAACTAATATAAGTGTGCTGATAAAATTTAACCCGGAACTTGACTGTAGATGTTTGTAAATAACACTGATAATTGATTATCGATCCGTTATTTCTTGTCAAACAAACAATTCTGTTGGCATGTGTGCCAATTTAAATTTTAGGGGCCAGATCAAAGAGTCCCAAAGGATCTCGTGGCAGCAGCACTGAGAGACCAGACTCAGCACAGAGCAATCCATTCATCAGAGCAGGCTCCCTGAAGGCACAGAAGGAGGAGATGGACAGACTGAGGCAGGAGGCAGAGGAGTTAGAGAGGCAGAAGAATGAGAAGAGGATCAAATCTGCACAGAAAAAGGTTAGAATTAAAGTATTCAGAAATTGTCTTGTATTCATCAGTATGACAAATCAAATGTTTAGTGTTCTTGAAGGATTTTAAATTGAAGTTTGTATAACCCCTTCCTTCCTTTATATTGATTTACTAACATCTAGTATCAGTTATAATATATGACAATTTTCAAATAGATGTGGATTAGACTGTATAGATATCTACAGTTATTATGGATGGAATTGTATAATGGATGAAATGGCTAATTTTGTGCTTGCAGCCTGGCAACCAGCATGTGGAATGGGTAAATTTGATTTTGATATTTTATAACTTAGATTTTTTGTTTTTTTGATTTTCAGCCATCTGTTATATTCTTTTTAGTAGAGTTGCAGCTCTTTTCAAACTTCAGGCTTCAGTATCAGATGTGTGTTTTAAAGGCTTTTTACTTGCATGAGGTGTTTATTTTTGTCACATATTAAGATATGTGATATGGCTAGTGTGTTAAGATGGTGGTGGGAGTCCTTACAGACAAGCTATTTTCATTGTGATTCATGCAAATGTGTATTTGCCAAATGAAAAATATTGTCTAGTATAGCCAGTTACTGATTAATAGAATCGGAACAAAAAAGAACAAATATTATTAGACTGCTTTAATAGGATATAATTAGGACAGGCAAAATGTCAGAGCTTGATAGAAAATGCATTTCTTCACTTATTTTTCAGTAAACACTCTTATGCATGTTCTGTGAAATCTTTGAGTGCTTTTTTTTGGAAAGAGAAATTATCTCTGTTTGTCATTTTCATTTGTTTGACTGCTATAAATGTTTGTTACAAGTGTGTTGTTGAGTAAGAATTGTATTTGATTTTTATGCAAATACATGTATTTCACATTGAAATGAAAATCCAAAATATGTATAAGTACATGTATACAAGGGCAATTGCTGGTGATGGTGGTGGTGATAGTATTTGTATGAGAGAGAGAGAGAGAGAGAGAGAGAGAGAGAGAGAGAGAGAGAGAGAGAGAGAGAGAGAGAGAGAGAGAGAGAG